GTCTTGGCTATGTAATTCATCCTTCTTTCTCTTCCGATGCCCTGCCTTTCAATGAACAGTTTGGGTAGGAAGGAATTTAAAATATCTAGTTCCCACTGCCCTGCCATGTGCAGAGACACCTTTCACTAGACCAGGGCTCAAAGCCCCATCCAACCTGACCTTGAGCACTGTCAAAAATGGGGCACTCGACTTTTATGTGGACTTGGAAGCTGTAAGTTAAGAACTTTACATCAATGACACTGCACACCAGCATCACTCCAAGGAGGAAAACAGACTCTCCTCCTCAGTTACAAACTTCCAGTACTGAAAAATAGGGCAGAGAGGAGGGAAAGAATATTTCATTTGTCTTCCCCTTCCTATGCCTGTATGCCACATTTTTGGACTTGAGTCACTGTTACCCAATTTCCAAAAGGGGATTCCATATTAGGCAGCCAAAGTGAAGCCTGTTTTATACCAACTGTATTGTTAATGTACCTGCAACTGTCAAATAATAAAGTAACCTGCCAAGTTACAAACAGTGGCTTTTTCTTTTTTTTTTTTAAAAAAGTATATTACTACAGTAGCATTTAAACCTATACACTTTGTTCAGCTGATACATTGTACAGTACAGGGTAGTGCCAAACCTTTCATACTTGCCAAAGAGTAACATGGCAAAAGGGTCTGCCAGGGCAGCACCAGCTACTGAGCAGGTGGTGAGCCTGGGAACTGCCCAGGGTACAAATCCTGCCCCTTCTGCTGCCATCATTCTGAAAGCTGATCACTCCATATTTCTGTCATTCCCCCCATAACAAGATTAAAAAGCACATACTTGCTTTTTGAAAGGTGTTTTGAAACGTACAGATTAAAATAAAATTACAAATATTTTTTTCTTTCCAAGTAGCTATACAAGTAATATTTTTAATAACCTCTGTTGCCCAAACCCAGGAAGCGAGTCAAAGAAAAATAAAATAACCATAGATTGAGAGAAAGTTGGCTCCTTTAAACTCTTTGTTTAAAGGTAAGCAGAAGCAGCAATAACTAGAACGGTTTTATTCACATGAAGATTTCAGCTTTTGCAAGTGTTGCATCTCCTGTCACTGCTATAGAAGGAGGAACAGAGTGGCCTATTTTCTACTTGACTCATGCATCCCACTATTCCTTGCACTCCTGACAAACCAGCAGTGGTATCTTTTAAGCTTGCTGACTCACGCATATATCCTCCTGCAGGTGAACTGACATCCTGGTGTAGGAACAGAAATACTTTGCAGTAGCCTGGACCTAAAGACTGATCATTCTGAAAGAGTAAAATGAAATAATTTAGCCATATACAACAAACTGCAGAATTTCCAAACCTTGCTTCATCTTCAAAATTGCCCCTTGTATGCAAAGGAGATACAGGAAGTGAAAATAACTATGAACAATACTGTAGCTTAAACTGTGATCAAAGAAGTGGCAAGGAACATAACAAGGAGAGGTAAGGCATGAAACAAAACCACATTTTCCTAACCATAACTGGAAAAACTGCATTCTTTGTTTTACCAGGCAGACATGGATATGTCCAAAAAAACAGCTAAGAACTTGACATTGACAACAGAACTGCAATCATGAGTGTTATATCACAAATTACACCCTCAAAGCCACTGGTCCAGTTCTAGTGTACACTGAAATAAACCATTAGACAGCTTATATAAATACCTATTTTCTACCCCTTCCAGACTACAAAGATATTAAAGAAAGTTTCATAAACCCGGGTGCCTAATTTAGCTAAATGTATAACACAGGTAGTACCTCTAGACCTCATCAGACCACACAAACACTACTGAAGTAAATAGAAGCTCAGGTCCTCAATGTCTTTAAAAACTTGTTCCTGCAGTGCATGGAAATGTCACACCAACATTGTTCCAATCTCAGTGTCTATTTGAAAAAAAAAAAAAAACTTTCAGAGAAATCAGTCAGCTCACTAGAAATGTGTCCAAATGATATTCTACTCCAGGTTGAAAAAGCCAAACTAAGCTGTTACTTTGTCAAAAAACTGCTTTATGCCCAAACCATTAATGGAAATCTAAGCAATGCAACCGCTTTTTTTACAAGCATTTTATCAAACAGCTTGCCAAGCTCCATATAAACACATTTTACTATTTCATAAACTTTATAGGCCAAGTTTTTGAAATGTGAAGTGACAGGCTCTCAGTGGAATTTCTGCAGAGCTACAAGGTTTTTATTGCCCTCAGGCCCCCGAGACTGTAAATTGACTATATGAATCAAGTAGCCAGAATCTCTGCCTTTTATACAGGACTGCCTTGCAAATTGGAAACACTGAAACAGCCTCTATGACCAGCCATAGAAGAATTCCTTTACACGAGGCTCAAAATGCCTCAGTGATCAGCACACAATAAGTATCCACCACTGCTAGGTTTCTGTTGCCAACAGTGGAAGAAGTTTCTCTCTGTCATTAAAAACCCCTTAAAGTAAAGAACTAATGCTAAATATCCCCCAACTCACAGATACACTTTAGCTAGGTATTTACATAAGGAAATCATCTTATCTTCATGATTCTGGTTGTTTTCTAATTTTTTTTCTAACTTGTTCACATCCTACTTTCATCCAAGGTCCTAAAGTTACACAAAAGCAACTAAGAGTGAACTCACTAATGCCATAAAAATGAAAACAAAACAAACTAACAAACAAAAAGAATAAGCCAGTTTCCAAGCTCCATGAAGTAAAGCTTCAGTTTTTACTTTAATGAGTGTTTAATGAGTACAGTTGAACGTGTGCCATATCAATCTATTGGACAGCACTGAAACTTTCCACTTCCGTTTACAAGTTACCTTTCTTAACGGCTCAAGGTCTCCCTTTGATTACTCCCAGCTCTAACACATAAGTTATCTTTTTATCATGTTTACTTCTGCTTTACTACTATCTATTTGCATTTGTAATACTATTACTACTGTAGGCATTTTGAAGATATGTCCTCTATGGTGCCTTGTAGCACCCATGTAACTCCTGCGATGGTTTTCCATTGCACATGATGGAAATCAAACCAGTAAGTTAGAAACAGACATCAACGTTCTTTTTTTTTTTTTTTTCGTAAAACAGTAAACCCACAGCTCTGCCTTTTTTATGCTGTTCTTACAAGGAGTAATTCTAGGATTACAATATCAAAGAACAGCAAAAAACAGTTAACTAGCATTTTTGGTGGTTTTATTATCGCTTCCTTTCATATATCTAATATATAGAGATAATAAATTAATTAAAACTTTAAAAAAATAGAGAAAACCATGACCACTTAACCCAAAAATATTGGAAGAGTTCAGTGGCAGCTGTAATACCTGGAAAAGCTTTAATATTTCCTTTTCAAGTTAGCTAAGGTTATTCCTAAGGTTGCAGAGCAAGAATCAGAGCTCGTTCCCTGGTATTTAATCCTCCACTGGAATTAGTGTGCTACCTTTCAGTTATTAATCACTTTGATACTACAGCCTTTTAACTCAGAGTTTAAACTGTCGTTGCACATGAATGCAATTTACTCCTACAAAAAAATCCCTGAACTTCTCTACTAATCTAAAGCAGCAGCGTTCCATTAACCAATTCCAAAATTTTATTTAAAAGTTGTCATTTTTTCACATTTAGTCTCTTCTTTTTCAAAGTTTCAGTTGGCTATAATGGAAGTCTTTAGCCTTTAGCTTTCTGATAGAAAGGGCTCACCTCTAATTTGCAAGTACATTTTATTGAACTTTACAGTATGTTCAGAACACTTCTGCAAACGCAGCCTGTGTTTGTGCACTAGTCACACTGCACAGTGAAAAAGGGCTTAATGGCTCTTCTGAAAGCAAAAGGTTGTATTTGGAACCCACATCTGGGCAAGAGCCTTGCTCACACCCCAGGACTGCTCCCCTTCAACAACTGCACACCAGCCAAGCAATCCCAAATTGCAATCTGAGCTCCCCATCGCTTTCTCAACCACAGTCTGTGGAAGTGCATCCATGCAATATCTACCCCATGGTGCCAGCTCTCTCTTCCCCAGGGAAGGGAAGGAACCCTTGCTTAGCCAACATATGTGGACTTAATGGCTACATGATCTCTTTGGATCACGCCACCAGCAAGGTGTTTGGGGACAAGTGTATCGTGCTCTCTCATGGGAAACCGATGAAGACACACCTCCTACACACCTGTGTGTAGGTTACTGGGCAGAAGCCGCCAGTTCTGCCGGCAAGGAGTGTCCCAGACACGCCATCAAGCCAAGCCTGTCCGACTTTGGCTTCAGCGGGGTAGCGGGGGCCGGGACCAGACCGGGGACCAACACACGCCCCGGGAGCTTCCCGGGCCGCTCGGGCGGGAGCATCCGGGGAGTGGCAGTCGGTCGCCAGGTGCTCCTTGCATCAAACTTGCTCGCTTCCCAAGCCCCTGCGAGTTCTCGAAGCAGAACGTCAAAGCACGAACGCGGTCACACAAAAGATGAAAGGCAGCGACTTGAAACACGGCGTGAAAATCTAAAGGCGACCACAGGGCACCGCCTGCTCTCGCCGCCCCACCAGGGATGGAGTGCGAGCGGGGACAGAGCGGGACGAGGTTTAGGTTGGACATTCAGACTAATTTCTTCACAAGAAGCGTGATTAGACATTGGAATGGACTGCCCTGAGATGTGGTGGAGTCACGGTCCCCGGAGATGTTTAGGACTGGACATGACACTCAGTATCGTGGTCTAGTTGACAATGTGGTGTTCGGTCATAGGTTAGACTTGATGATCTCAGACGTCTTTTCCAACCTAACTGACTGTGATTCTGAGCAGCCGGGCACCGACCCCCGGGGCCGGAGCACCAGGGCCCGCTCCCGGCGCGGGCGGAGGACGGCCGGGCGGGCTAGCGCTCCAGCCCCCGCGCTGCCACAAACTTTCCGGAGAGAGAGAGGAGGGGAGGGCGCCGGCGCGGGGGGGGAGAAGGGAGGAAGGAAGAGGGTACTCGGCGCGGCCCTTACCCGTCTCTGCGGCGGGCCTTGTAGACGTGCCCGTAGGTGCCTCTGCCCACCTTGCATCCCTCGTACTCGAACAGGTCCTCCACCCGCTCGCGCTCGGCCGCCAGCTTCGACTTGAACTCGTAGTCCATGTCTCGCCCATGGGCGGGGAGGGACGGGCGGGCAGGGGGACGCGGCGGCCCGATCAGCACCCGCGGCTGGCGAAGCCCCCTCCCGGCGCCGCCATGTCCGAGGTTCGGCGGGGGCGGCGGGCGGGGGGGGGACAGGGGGCGGTTTGTTTTTGTTTTGGTTTGGGGCTTTTCGGCGGGGGGGGGGAGGGGGCGCGCTCCGCCGCCGCCACCCGCTTCAACTGGGCTCCTCGCGGCGCGGCGCGAAGTCTGCCGGGAGTCGTAGTGCGGCTGCGGGCGCCTGCCCCGCCGCCGCGGGCGGGAACGCCGCGGCGCCAGAACTACAACTCCCGGCATGCCCCGGGAGGCATCGGGCGGGCGGCGTCGGCGCACTGCCCTCCCCGGAGACAGCGGAGCGTTTCAGCGGCCGCCGGGAACTTGCTGACTCTTCACATTGCGGTCAGAGGCGGGAGCGGTGAGCGCGGCCGTACGCGGCGCCTCTGGCTGGCAGGAAGGGACGGAGGGATGTAGGGCGGAAAGGACGGAGGACACGGACCCCATGCTGTGGGGCGCTGAATAGTGCGGCAACTTGTTTATCTCGCCAGCTGCCACTCACGGCTTGGCCCCGCCCCCCTGCAGGCTGTTGCCCTCTGATTGGTCGGACCGCCCCGCCGTGCCGCGGGTGGGGCGGGGCCGATCCCGGCCCCGGGGGCTGTGGAGTGGCGGGTCCATGTTGGAAACGGAATTCTCAGGGGCGTAGTAGAGCCAGGTGCTGCTAAATAAACCGACCGTTCATAGGAATATGGGGGGGGATACAGCGTTTGCGCTCAGATACAGCCCAGGCGTGTTGCTGTGTCTTTATGATCCGATGCCACAGCAAGGCTATGCCCCTTCAGCCCCAAGCAGATTTTTAGACAAAACACGGCGTTGCTGTGAGGTTCAGATTTCATGCGAAGTATTTTGAGATCGCAGAAACATTCAAGCCTCTTAACATTATGTCTCGGCCTTTCAGGGGTATTTCTGTGAAAAGCATCACTGTGCAGGCATATTTGCATTATGGAAGTGCCACGCAGAGCTACAAATACGAAGAACCACAAAAACCCCACAGAATCAATTAGGTTGGAAAAGACCTCTGAGACTATCGAGTCCAACCTGTGACTGAACATCACCACGTGAACTAGATGATGGCACTAAGTGCCACATACAGTCATTCCTTAAACACGTCCAGGGATGGTGACTCCACTATCTCCCTGGGCAGCCTATTCCAATGTCTAATCACGCTTTCTGTGAACAAATTCTTCCTAATGTCCAACATAAACCTGCCCTGGCACAGCTTAAGACTGTGCAGTCTTGTCCTATCACTAGTTACCTGGGAGAAGTAGTCGACCCTCTGCTAGGTACAACCTCCTTCCAGATAGTTGTTGAGAATGATAAGGTCACCCCTGAGGTGACCTTACACAACCTGAAGGTTACATCCTGGCCTAGAAGCAAGTGACACTCCCCACCTTGTGAATTCAACATTAGAGTACAACAGTCAGCAGCAAGCGAATGAAGCAGAATTAAATTAGAGGAGGGGAAAGTACAAATGGAAGCTGTCCATATACAGGAACGGTCTTGGTTCATCACCTGCCCAGCCAGCGTTAGTTACCTCAATAGAAAGTTTTTCCACATGCCAGATGGGAGGGGTGGAGGAGCTGAGCTGATGAGAAGCTGTCATTGCTGACAAAGCCCAGGGAGATGTCAACTGCACCATCACGCTATATATGATTACTGGTGCATAGCTAAGTCATGAAGTCGTAACTAGAAGTTTGCTTCTCAGGGAAAGGCAAGAGTGTAACCATTTTGAGGTGATTATTTCTTCCAGAAGGCAATAGATGATTCAGAATTTCCCTAGTGCCAGGTAACTAGCAACCCAAATTCTCAGAAAATTTCATCACTCCTTTACCAAAATAGTATTTTGCAGAGAACTGCAAGTGCTTTTCTCAGCAGTTGCAGATGTGGATATTTCTGAACAAGGCCCGATCATGAAATGGCAATTTTCCTAAACAGGAGGACGAACAGCACTGATCTTTCAGTGTCAACCTTAAAGACATTTGCTAAAATCAGAACTCACCATTTAAAATTTTGCAAAGTATTCACAACTTTGGTCACCTAGAATTCAAAGCCAACACTTAGAAGAAAGCGACACAGACTGAAAAAAGCAAGCTTATAGGTTACTCTACCCAGATATATTCAGCCAGTTTTGACATCAACAGGAATAAGGACTGCCTTGCTGTTGGTAATAATAAACTCTTCAAGTAGTTTGCATTGCCCTCTTTGACCAAAACAGTAGCCATTATTGCCCATTTTCACCACTAAGGCTTTTGTTTTTACTCTTTCAATTCCACCATGTACTGACAAGACTGTCTTTATTATAACTCCTTGTAAGTCCATAGCACTAGTGAGAGAGGGCTAACAGCACCCCCCATTTTAGAAGCCCAGCTAGGCTGGCATTTGTAAGCCAAGGTAGCTTAATTTCCCCTATACCCTATACTGTACCCTAGTGTTGCAAGCAACCATTTTATCCCTTCTTCCATAAAGTGACTGTGCTTTGCCAGTAAATGTTTTGGCCCTTGCTGCTGCTCCAAAGGAGAAGCAGCAGCAGCAAGCAGCCATTTATGGAGCAATGAGAGTAAATCATCTGAGAGAAAGAAACAGAACAGTACTGTGACATTTCCATTGCTCTTCTAAGTTAGTAGAATGTTGTGATACTGCTAATATGTATTTAATAGCATTCCCTTTCTAAAAAAGGTGTTTAATTAATTTTATTGCTTCTGGTCAGAAGATAAATGACTGTAGCATTTTTAATATGCAATACCCTCTCATTTGTTTAATTGTGCTGATACAGAAAGTCTAAGTAGCACCAGCAAAGAAAACAGAAGATTACAGGCTTGCAGAGTGCAAGCATGATTTTTTTCAGCCTGCCAGCCTAACTGAAGATGCCTGGTTGTCACTCATTAGAATCACCATTTCCTCCAAATCTCAAGTCACTGTGGTTAAGTAGTGCCTGGATTGTTGGAGGCGAAAGGTGTTTTAAACAAGACTGAAAGTTGAGGAATTGAATATTCTCACCAGTTCTCTAAAGAGATCTCCAAGACAAGTAAGACATGAACTTCTAATGTAAAAAGGAAGAATTTGGACTGTAATACTTCAATGTCAAGAAAGTGATACATACAGACCATTTTTCTTCTTTGTAGATTGCCTTGCACTTAAAATACATTCCTGTTTTCTTTTCAACTTGCTTCATGAGCAATCTCTTACAGTTCTCTCTTCATGTATTAGTGAGACCAAAAAATAGGTGTTGGGGGTTTTTTTTTAACTCTTCTAGGCCACATCTGGAAGTAGTTGCACCTTTTCTTAACTCATTCTCTTTGTAAGCTTTTACTTTTTAATCTAGTGGGAATTTTTTGATTCTTAGGGATCAAGGCAGCATTTTTCCAGTAGATCTTGAGTGGAATATGAATAAACATACACACTCAGTGTTCACTTATGTCAGTCACATTTAAAACCAACGTTGATTCATTTAAGAGTGAAAGGATGCATGTCAGGAGTCTGAAGGATACAAGCAGAGAAAATTTAGAATGAATAGAGGTCTCACATGAACTATACTTTCATCTCTACAGAAGCAGAGAAAAACAGTTCTATTCCAAAAAATATAGAAATATACTTGGGATTTTTAAACATATTAGTGTGAGAGTGAGAAGAGCCCAGTGAAAGTGGGACAATATGCCAGAGGATTTCTAATAGAAATAGATTAGAAAGTCTTCAACTGGCTGTAAGTTCATATGTTATCATTCCCAGTAAAACTCTGAATTTTGAAATCTTTTATGTCAATTAACTTCTAAACTCCTGTAGTAAAAGTATTAACCTTATTATATAGTTTTAAAAACACAGTACATAACTGGGGGGTTCTCTCAAGATTTTACAGTAAATCTAAGGAGCATGCTCAGAATGGAGGGAATGCTGAATGCTGCACTCATGGTATAATTATTTCACTGACTCTGTTTTGTTGGGGATTTTTTTAATTCATTTTTATCGTGCCATAATCCAAATAGTACTAAACCAGAAACCTTGTGCTGTTTTTCTTGAGTGTAATCCAAGAACCTGGTCACAGAAAAGTCTGTACTACTTTACACTGTATTTTTTTCCTGAGAAAAAGAAAACCCTCACAAAAGCTATTCTCTGTCTTCTCTTTACAGACTGGCAAGAGTGAACAGTTACCTGACGAAAACAAGGTAACTCAGCATTCAACAATTAAAAAACAGTGGGAGACAGCAAAGTAAAAGTGAAATAATTCTGTGTTGCTCAGTGTGCCAGTTCATCATTATGCCACTATACCTCATACTTATTGCTGATCAACTAGTGTAATCACATGTATATCTTTCTTAGGATATCCACTTACTCCCTGTGAATTGTAATGCAAGATGCACGAGTTTATTTCATTTGAGGAGCAGCATGCAATATTGTGGATCGGCTTCAGTTTGACAGAAAAAAACCCAAACAAACCAGAGGATACGATTAACTAATGCCTTTGTGTTCACATTTGAGAATCAGCATGAAAGCTGGTTTAGACGGCAAGCCAATACCTCCAAAGCAGAGATTTAGAGAAAGCCTTGAATTCCAAAAATGTTGAAGTTGCCCATAATTATGGAGAAAGCATAAACTCTTATTCTGAATATAGCAGTCTAAAATTTCATCTTTTGGAGCTGCACAGTCAGTGTAACTGAGTTGTCTTGTCTTTGTTGGTATACATGATTTCAATATTCCTGCATTGTCAGCATCCTCATTCTAACACCACCATATTCCATCTGTGGTATCTCCTTGCCTGTCGTTAAAAGTTTTCAGAGGTTAAATAATACTAAACTTTACTGTAGAATCCACTGGAAAGGACAGTAGCATGTCATAAAAAAAGGAAATAAGTTGCTTTAATTATCTTTGAAGGATATAAAAGAGAATACAGCAAAACTGCTCTGTCTGATAGCTTTCTGCAGTTAGATTCAGTCCCACAGAAGAAGTAGAACTCTGCTAAACAGATAACCTGAACTGCATCAAGTTTTACTCTTATGTTTTCAATTTTTTCCTTGGATATAATATGTTTTATACCACTGTACTGGCTGAATCCTAAATACAAGCTACAGCTACAGAACAGCATTCTATGACAGTCTATAGAAGATATGTAATTTATACATACAGAGCTATTATTCTTTAG